TATATATATATACACACACACACACACACACACACACCCACGCATGCCGTAATGGCGCAATAACACATTTGAACACATTTGACATTTGTTCCAAACTCACCAAAGAACAGCAATGCGTCATTTTACGAAAAGCAAACATCGACTAAGTCAAAAAAGAAATGTATTTGTTCTCTCTCGCGAGGGTGAGAGAGACAGACACAGATGTGTCTGAATGACATCCTTGTGTTAGTTAACTGATAGTCATTTGTACATTTCTTATCAAATACTGTCTAGTCTTTCAATTAAAAAGAACCTGTACAGTAATACCTTTGTGCTCTGGCTTTTCTTCTACCTGCTGGTATCTTGCTTTATGTTAGCATACCAACTGTTAGCATGTGTTCCATTTTGGCTAGAAAGCATACCCGGATACAGGTCAAGATTAAAATCGAGATTGAGCCGCCTTAGAACTCTGTATTTGTTGTCTTGCTGTATGATAACATGGCAATGCTCGTGTGTTATGTTAGCCTCTTTTTGCACTTCTCATTCGAAATTACTGTAATACATCAAACTACCGAGCTACAGGGTAAGATGTAAATTCTTCAGAGAACTGCTTTTTGTACTCAGGCTGTCATTTTGCTTTGTGTTCATTCAGTATATATTTAAAATTATTACATGAGTACAGTATTTGTTGAGTGTCACTTCAACGTATAACAATCATGCTAATTGCTGGCATGTCAGCATTGAATCAATTGTTACTTGAAACAGTGCCAGATTCCAGATGATGAAACTTGAGCTACCTTGAGGTTTTACACCGTTTCTTTTTTTTTATGTCATATGATCTTGCTATATTTTAGTATACCAACTGTTAGCATTCTACCAGTTTTCCAAGACTTTAGCAATTTTGCATATCTGTTGAGACACGAGATGTTTCAGAATGAAAATTACAGGTCCATTTAACTGATTAGCATGCAATGTTTTAGTCTTAAGATTGAAAATGTAGCCCCTCGTAGAGTTCCTCTGTAAGACTGCTTTACATAGTTCCAACATTTCCTGGTGAAGTGGAGCAGAAACTAGGTGCCCTCACATAAACACCCCCAGGACCCAGTGCACTCCCCACTACAACCCCTTCAACAATTAGGTGAGCGCCTCTGACGGGCCAATAATAATGGTTTGTTCTGACAAATCCTCCTTCCCATGCTTTGACAACAGTAGGAGGTGTGTGACGTAATGACAGTGCCCAGTTGCAGTGACAAGAGAGTACAGTACACTTCATTGTGCCCACTGCGTCTTTGTGTCCTTAAAAAGTGTCGCTAGCAATTAGCACCAATGGAAATAGACAGGGGTCGTGTGTGCATATTATGTGATAGCTGTGCTTCCCCACTACCAGTCCACTGTAACCGTGTTACATTTACACTGCTACTTCCAATGGTTTAAATAATATTTGTCGTCTACATACTTTGGTTTATGATTTTTATATTTACCGATAAAACGTTTTTATAAAAATAAAAAAATGTTCATAAACATGCTAACAAACTACTATTAGCATGTTAGCATTGTATCCATTTTCATGAGAAATTATCAGGATGTCCGGAAGGTTTCTGAACAGAATCGGACTCTATAAACACAGACTCTGATAGATGTAAAAAATATATATATTCACAGAAAAAAGGCCGACACAGTACAAATAAGGACACTGGTAAATAACCAGAATAACAACAATAATAAAAAGCGCTTGCAAACGGCAAGGAAACAATAAACGGAAACAGGTTGTCATAAAAGGACAAAGGACCAATTCGCAACAAATACAATCCAACAATATCATCCAATGAAAACCAAGGAAACTGCTGACAATGGAAGATACAAAACCAGGCATGAGAACTATGGCTCGAGAACATGGTACGTCTCGAAAACAGGACTTGAAAGATGGCTTGAGAAAGCCAATTATCGAGAAGGGTCCAGCCTCAGACCCGGAGGAGGCCGATTCAGGGAAAGGTAGGTGTAGGCAAGTAACGTTGCGCCGGATTTGACGTCAGAAGGATGATGCCCGAGTCCGAAGTAAGTCGCATGTGGATCTTAAAAAGTATAAAATGCCCTGTAATTGTAAGATAATTTAACAGCAAAACCCTAACCCTAACCTAATTTTAGTTGTATTGCAAAGTAGGTCATCAAATAAGTAAAAGTAATTCTATCTCAAATTAATTTGATAAAAAAAACATCTTAATAATCTTAACTTAATTTTTAAAGAAAGATTATTATTCAAATAAAATAATTAAAATTCCCCATTACAATTAATGAACATTTCACTTTCATTTGCAGTCGTATATATATATATAGATAAGTCCCTAAGTAAGTGAGATAAATAAACCTAGACTTTTCCGGGACTTGAAAATCAAATTTGCCTAAACTTACCACAGCCACTTTGGGACTTTATTTTGAAAATCAATTGCCCAAACTTACCACAGCCACTTCCGACGTTGTATACTATTGCAAATATCAGACACTGAATGGTTGGAGTGAGAGTTCTTTCATAGTCCGTGATCATACTGAGTGAACGGGTAACAGGTGCGCAGCTGAAAGGAAGCTACGCCCCTGCCACCTGCTGGAAACTAAACAGAACGGAATCGTGACAGAAATAGTACCAGAACAGTACAGGACAAAATGTAAAATGAATTCCCCCTTGGGCTTTTTGTACTCTGGTTGCTGTCTTGATATTTGTTAACATACTAATTGTTTGTATTTTATCAACAGCATTCAAGTATTTTTTATTTTTCTATCCTATCGGCACCTGACACTGTCAGTCAACAACATTCCCCAAAATGATGATGATGATGATGAGTATATTATTGGGTAAACATGGGTCGTGATTGACTTTTTTTTTTATTACCTGTATACGAATTTGGTTGGTATTGTCAGTCAATATAATGAATATATGTATATGTGTATGTGTGTGTTTGTGTGTGTGTGTGTGTGTGTGTGTGCGTGTGTGTGTGTGTGTGTTTATATACAGTACAAATTGTAAATAAACACACACACACACACACACATATTTTTTTGGGACTAATCTGAGGGTTAATGTCAGGCAACACTCAGAAAATATATTTATTGTACAGTACTTGTTTTTTTTTTTTTTTGCTTCCTGCAACAATGCAAAACAAGATCATTTAAATTGTACTTTTATATAAACATATTATCTTTCCGAAAATAATTATTGAATATATTTTATTACTTTCTTCATTTTTCAATTGTTACAAGTAATTAACTCAAATTAACATTTCATCCAGTGTCTTATGAAATGAAAATGAACTACAGTACCATCATGTGGCGAAAGTGAGAAATTATTAGGACTCTAAAACTGAAACTTGACTTCTTCCTCACTAAATAAATGTACAATATTACAGTATTAAAATATGCCAATGTGCTGATAAACTATTTCCAAAAAGGGTATATCCATCCATCCATCCATTTTCCTTACCGCTTTATCCTCACAAGGGCCGCAGGGGGTGCTGGAGCTTATCCCAGCTTTCTTAGGGCAGTAGGCGCGGGACACACTGAACCGGTTGCCAGCCAAACGCAGGGCACACAGAGACCAACAACTCGCTCACATTTACACCAAGTGACAATTTAGAGTGTTCAATCAGCCTGCCATGCATGTTTTTTAAATGTGGGAGGAAAACTGGTGTACCCAGAGAAAACCCACGCAGGCACGGGGAGAACATACAAACTCCACACAGGAAGGCCGGAGCTGGAATCGAACACACGGCCTCTGCACTGTGAGGTGGACACGCTAACTGGATCACTGGGCCACCCCAAAAAAAATAAATTTAAAAAAAAAAAATTTAAAAAATAAATAA